TGCCAGTTTGATTCCTCCTATGAAAGCAGGACAGGTCCCCAGAAGGCACCCACAGTTTGCACCTATTCCCCCATGGAGCCTCCCCCACGGAGGCCCAAGGCTCTCAATCGCCCTGACGACTCAACTCCAGAGTTTCACCCCCTGAAACCTCCCCATGCCCTAAACCCAGGCAGGCTGGGAGTCCTCAGCAGCCCAGACCCCAGGGAGACCTCCTCCCCCATCCCGGGGTTCCCTTCACACCCAGACCCCTCCCCTCCTCCAGTACAGCCCAGAGACTCCCCCCAACCTGAGCGGGAAATCGCCACACAAACAGCCATGACACGACACCCCGGGTAAATGACACTTTATTCCCATGTTGCCTTTGTCAGGGGGGCAGAGTGGGTGAGATCAAAGAAACCGCTCACGATTGATATTTCTGAGTCGTGGATGATACCACACATGCGTTATCAGCTCAGCAAAGGATACAAGAGTGTATCTGCTCTCTTGAACTGGTGAACGTAACATACATGATTTATAATTCGTCATTCATCCCAAATCGCTGTGGTTAGTTTTTTAAATGTCATTTCCAATTCATATGTAATTGTTTCATAGATTCCTTTTGTTCACGTTTTATGTATTAGTCATATTCCAAATCATAAGTAACGGTTTTTTTTCCCATCGTACGACAAAGTGCAGACATGGCAAAGGATTTATAAGAAATAATTAAACCACATTTACTTGTGGTCGGTAACGATGCATCATCCTTTCCAAGAAATACATGATTTTGTTATGGACATATTCAATATAAATCTGGTATAAAAATGAAGCTGTTATGTTTAGTAAAAACATCAGCAACTCACCAATTAGAAACGAAGTCACCAGCTTTAACATCATTTCCTTTTCCATTTGCCATGCTCTTTCTCCAGTGCACTGATCCGTTAGGAATTCTCTCATCTCAGGCATTTGTTCCAGTAAAATTTCAATAATCATTAACTTTATTAACGGAAAAAGTGAATACATGAAAAACGATTTTAAAAAGTTAAAGAAACGTAAAAGAACTGAGAAATGAAAACGATTAAATCGGAGGTACTTCATTAGGCAAAAAAACAGTAGAATAAAAATAATTAAAAACCACGACCAGAAAAAAAAAGAATATGCAGCTAGTCTGCTCATGATTTCCACTTACTAACTCTCCGACTTGACCCGGAAGAGCTGCGGCTTTAAAAAGTCACTCATCATGACCTCAAGCCAACAGGAAGTGGTCCTGACCAATAAGCGTGCAACCGGCGCCATTTTGTGTTTAAAGTCACCGCCCCCAAAGAGATCCGTGCCCAGGTTGTGTAATGGCGGAAAGGTCGGAGGTGGTGAGAGGCAGGGGGACCTCACAGTGGGTTGGGGGGAGCATAAGGAGGTCTGACTATGGGGCAAGACCTCCCCATGATCAAGGACACACGACAAGTGTACAGAAAAACGATGTTGTTTACTAAACGTGGTGTGTATGAACACAGAACATTCTGGAGTTCCTCTGATCCTGCGCCCGGCTGAGTAAGGGGCTCCCATGCACCTGGGAACTGTCGCCCGTGCCCTGGGGAAGTTACCTGCTGGGGCAGAAGGGCTTTTGCAACTGGGAGAAAGTGAAATGTCTCAATATTGGGAGATTCTGCTGGATTATCTGACTGGAGCCTGATGGAGTCACACGTGTCTTCATAATGCAGAGGCAGAGAGTGACTGGAGTCCAGAAGAGGAAGAAGGCGACGTGAGCCTGGGTCAGGGAGAAGCAGCCATGTCAGGGGGGCTGTGAGGCAAAGATGGACGTGGCCTCCAGAAGCGGGAAAAGGCAGAGGCTCCTCCCTCAGCAGCCCTAACCGCCAAGCTTGGGTTCATGACACTGAAGAAAAGCAAAAGGCGTCCCTAACAAGCCCCTGGCGGAGAGAGCTGCCCTCCTGTGGACAGAGAGGTCCCAGCGGCTCCCGGCCCTGACTGGCCTCACCAGGCAGCTGACTGGGCCCCTGCCCTGCTGTAGCCCTCAGAGCAGACGTTTGGGCTCTCACCACTTGGCTTGCTCTGTTGTTCTCTCACAGTCGGTGTGGGTCTCCCCCAGAGAATCCACACAGGTCACGGGGATGGAGAAGTAGAATCCCCCATCTGAGTCGTCTTGCTTTTACTCCTACGCGTGCGGAGTCTGGTGTGGATGCTCGGGAGACCTGTGTGGGGTTTGGTGTGGAAAGCAGGAGTGGGCATGAGGTGGGGGTGGAAGGATGGGCTCTGAGAAGGCCGACTGGGCGTGAGGCCTTGTGAAGCTTGAGTAGGGATTTGGGGTGTTGGGTGTGATTTGGGGTTTTGAGGCGCTAGCGGGTCCAGTGGTGCGGGGTTTCGTTGGGGTAGCTCAGGATGGGCCTGTGGACCTTGAGTGGGTGTCAGCCCACCTGTTAAGGGAAGAGCAACTGACCTTTTGAAGCAAAGTGGAGGATTTTGTTCTTCCAACTTGAATAGACCTGACGAGTGAGATGTGGACATGAGGGAAGGATAATTTTCTTGAAGTCACAGGCTAACTCCCTGACATTGGGGTTAGGAAGGGCCACCAGATGCACAGGCTGACTCTGCCATTGGCCAGAGCACACAGGCAAGGGGGAGAGCAGAATTCAGGGGAGTCTTGGAGGCTAGAGAACAAGGAGGGACTGGAGGATGACAGGGTACCTTGGATGCAGATTTCAGGTGAGGGCATTTAGGGTTTCAAGCCAGGAAGGATGTTTGTGCATAAGGGGGTCAGACTGGAAAATATTCTCGAACTGTGGCCTGGGAAAGATAGTAAATTCTGCAGAGTTTGGTTTTGTGTGTGTGTGTGTGTGTGTGTGTGTGTGTGTGTGTGTGGTGGTAAGCTTTAGTTTATTTTCTGGTGCTTTCCACGTTCCTACCAGGTAGGTAAGCATTTGTGCTTTTCTGCAGTGCTCCCAAGCGATGCTGAAAATGTCAGACTCCAGAGCATGTCCCCAAGGACACAGTCCCAGAACCTTTTTTATGTGACTCTCCTAATCTTAGACTTCTGCCCTGCTTTGATCAGCAAGTACCCCCAGCTCAAGCGTCTGCATCCGTGGTACCCTATCCTGTTGGGGGCTGATTCTGGCTTATACTAATCATTCACTATAGTCTGTAATGTACGTGTGCTGCCTGACGCAGCGGTAGTCAGCATTTTCTTCTCACATGGTTGCTGCCTTGTGACTTGATAAGAGGCCTGAGTTGTTGCACATAAGCAAATGCTCCCAACTCCCACACGGAGGCCCCCGTGGTGGGAGTCTGGAGGCCATGAGAACAAGAATAAGAAGAACTCTCCCAAGAACTGGCTCCCGATTGATGGTTGGTAGTCAATGACGGGTAAGACTCCCCATGGAGGGGGGCGACCTAAGACAGGCACAACCATGGGGGCCACGAAGGAGCCACCGCCTGGGATTGAAACCAAGAAGCACTTCAAATGGCTGCATTGTTTTATGTTGCCTATCTCAGCCTTGGCTTTTGAGCTCTGTCTGGCACCTTAACTTTAGTAACCATTAGAGGTCTGAGACCATGGGAAATTGTTCCTTTTGATACAACTCCAGAATTGGCTGATAATGCTGCTATGCTCAGATGCTCACATACAAGGAACTAACCTTGGGTCTGGGGGGTATAAAAATAAAGCATGAAAGTAAGAAAACACCGGTTCATCAAGCGGGGGGTGCCGGGCGCGTGGCTCACGCCTGTAATCCCCAGCCTCTGGGAAGGCCGGGGCGGGCGGATTGCTCGCATGGTCCAGGAGTTCAAAAACCAGCCTGAAGCGAGCACCCATTCTCTACTATAACATAGATAAGAATTAATCTGGCCACCTAATATAATATATACCTATCATAAAATTAGCCCGGGCAATCGGGTGGCGCATGCCTGTAGTCCAGCTACACTCGGGAGGCTGAGGCAGGAGGATCCGCTTGAGCCCAGATGTTTGAGGTGTGTGAGCTAGGCCTGACGCGCACGGCACTCACTCTAGCCTGGGCAACAAAGCGAGACCTCTGTCGGCAAAAAAAAAAACAAAAAAAAAAACCGAAAGCGTTCATAAACGCTCTGGCATACCCTAATCTCTCATAAATGCTGGGTGTTTGTTCTTACTAATTTTCCTTTATTACTATTGTTAATTAAATTTTTAATTTCTTTTCTTTGTGTTGAGCCAAAATTCACATAAAATCAACCATCTTTTGAGCGTGCGATTCAAGTGGATTTACCCATTCACAATGCTGTGCGCCAGCACCTCCTATCTAGTACACACATTTCACACACCAAAGGCCCTATACCTCAGGCCAACAACAGCTGGACCGCCACCCTCACCCAGGCTGCCACCAAATCTGCTTCCTGTCCCAAACCAGGATTTGCCGATTTGGATATTTCACTAAAGTCGGAATCGGACCCAGCGTGCAGCCCCCTTTACACGCCCTAGTTATTATTTTTTTATTGGCCGCCGCGGCCCCACCGGCTGTGGGGTTGGAAGTGTTTGGTTGTCCTTCCAGCACAGTCTGGGACACAGGCCAGGCCCGCGTGGCTCGCTGAGCGATGGCCCCCCCAAGTTCGTGCTGCCGCCCGCTTCAGCTCCTCTTTGCAGTGACCACTGAAGGGCGAGGGCAACGAGGCCCGTGTCCAATGGTTACCGAGGAGGGACCCCTGGCCCCCCAGCCACACCGCCCGGGCCCAACCAACTTTCCCCCGATCCGGCCCCTCAGGCAGCTGTAGACGGACGCGGCAATGCCAAGAGAGGCCTTGCGAGTGCAGGGCTGCAGTAACAGCATCGGCGCTATGGTGCTGTTGATGTTATTCCCATTTTACAGCTACGAAACTGAGGC